GTTTGTTCACTCCTTCTGAAGTTTCGATGTATTGTTATGGTCTTTTCTTTCTTCCCTTCATTCCTTCCTTCTTCCTTCTTTCCCTCCCTCCCTACCTCCCTCCCTCCCTCCTCACCCCTGCCCCCTCCCTCTCCCGCCTGCCCTCTCATTCCCTCTCGTTCCCTCTCAAGCTCACTCACTGGCCCTGCTTCTTGTTTTTCTTTCTCTTCCCCTTTCCCCTCTCTGCCCCTAAGCCACCTCCCTGCCCTTTTTCCCACCCCTCTCCTGTCACCTCCACCCCTCCCTCCTCTTCCACGCTCTTTCACTGGAGTAGAGAAGACTAGAAAGGCTTCCTGGGGTAAGGGCTGCCCATCCTCTGAGGCATGCTCCACTTTCAGATCTTTTTGTAAAGAAGACATTTCTAGCAGTGAAAACTGCTCAGCAGTGGGATGACTGTCCTGCCCAGGAGTGAGTTCCCCAGCAGGGAGGCAGACAAGACAGAGTGATCCTCCTTCCCGAGTGCTGAGGAGGTGGTTTGACCTTCCTGGTGGGGGCTGGATCGTGTGACCTAGGTTTTCTGACGTGCATTGCTCTGCAGTTCAAGATGGTTTCATGATCTCCCATGTATTTAAAGCTATAGGGCTGGGCCTCATGCAAGAGCAGGTATATTTAAAGACAAAGTATTTTTCTTACATTCTTTACAATTTGAATGTTTATTAAATGTAGTTTAATTTTAGAAGTAAATTAAGGGCCGGCCCGGTGGCGCACTGCTACAGTGCACCGCTTGGGAGCGTGGTGGCACTCCCGCCGAGGGTTCAGATCCCACATACAGACCGGTTCCCGCTCACTGGCTGAGCGGTTCCCGCTCACTGGCTGAGGGAGGGGCGGGCACAGCACCGAGGGTTGCGATCCTGTTGCTGGTCCTGGTCCGGTACGGGCGCGACACTGAGGGTTGCGATCCGTTGCCGGACACGAAAAAAAAAGACAAAAAGGAAAAAAAAAAAAAAGAAGTAAATTAACCATGGAAAACTTTAGAAAATAGAGATGAAAAGAAAAAAATCCTCCCTGACTCAGCCACGGTTTGCGTTTTCTTCTGTTTTCTTTTATCTCTTCCCTCTGTTTGCTTCTTACACATTGCACCGGGGTGTGGAGACAGCTTTGTATCCCTTCCTGAATTCTTAACACGGAGACGTGAATATTTTACATAGTCACCACCTTTATTATTTTTCGTGACTGCCTCATATACCATGGGGTGGATGCCCACGATTACTTTAGACTTTGTTTTGAAGCAGCAAAAACTTGAACCTCTTCAGAGATGGACAGTTAGAAAGCAAGAGCTTTATGTTTCTTTAGAGAAGGAGTTACCCCGTTTTCTATCCATCTTGTAAGAGAAGAGTGTTCGCCATTCAGCACGAGGAGGAACGAGCACATGCGAGGACTTGCTCCTGGCCGGGAACCGTGCTGGGTGCTCTGTGGGCATCAGTTAGGGCAGCCCCGTGATTGCCATGTGCATGCTGCCAGCCCTGCTTCCCAGGTGACGGCCCTGGGTTTGGACACACCGTCTTCGGGTCCCACAGCTGTCTATGTAGACCAGGACTCCAAAGCCACAGGGAAGGGTCTGCCAAGGAGGACTTGTGCTCAGTCCTGTCAGCCTGTGGGTAACTGGCCTTTTGGGGTTTCAGGATTTCCATGGAGTTGTCATGAAGGCCTTGGATGACATGGACCAAGAAGGCAGAGCCGCATTGGCCCGGGGGGAGCTGAGGCAGGGCCTGAGTGAGCTCGCAGCCATCCATGACCTTCACCAAGGCCTCCTGGGGGAGCTGGAGGAGAGGCT